GACTCCCTGACTCAGCACATGGAGGAAGAAACGCACCCATTTACAACAAGCATCTGAATGTGACCATTACATGAGCACAAAATTAATATCACTGATGTTTGAGCAATGATACGTTTTGTTGTATATGTGATAAAGCAGTTGACTGCATAACGGTTTTAGGTTTAATACCTTGCTCAGCCCAGGTTTTGTGACCCTGGCTATGGTACCTATTCTCTTTGTACCTTAGTTACCTCACCAGTGAAGTATGGATGATAATGGTTCTTGCCTCATTGGGTTGTTGTGAAAGTTAATTGCTATAATGCATACAAGCTGCCAATGATGTTCAATCAATGTTGGCCAATATTATTAGCAGCATAGAATTACCAACATTTTTTCAAAGTTCATTAATTCATTCCTGGAAAAGTTTCTACCTTGGTAGCTTATTTCTAGGTGACTGTGGCCATTAAATTCCCATCGAAATATTTTCCAAAGAAACTTTTTCAGGGCCACAGCAGTTTTTCCTGGACAGTTTGTGTGGGTTGTTTTTTTTTTTAAACATAGCTAATTGGAAGATTTCCGAGTCTAAATTTCCAGGCTCAGCTTTTACCTGAAAAGCCATCTGTGTGGACTTAATGATGTTCGTGACTTGAACTCCAGTTACGCCAAAGCCCCACTCACCTCTCCCAGGGTGCGCTCCCGAAGTCAAGGATGCTGTTGCCATAGAGCTGCAGGTCCGAATGTAACCAGCAGAGGGCAGCGCTGCACACAAACCGCTGCAACTTTGAGGCTTCCCCAGTGCCTTTCCACTATCAGTAGTGTTTTTTTCCTCCCCATTTTCATTTCTTGCCTTTAGAAGAGTGACCATGATCTTTCAGAAAAAAATGTGGTTGTCTTCCGTTGTTCTCATCTTTTATAGGTTTTCTGAGTCTCTTGTGTGGTCACTGGCACTCTGTGGGGTTGGGAGAGGCAGAGCCGCTGAATGTAAGAATGGGAGCCCCCGCGCTTTCCCGAATCTGTCGGCGCAGCCACCTGCTCTCCTTGTCCTCCTTTCCTGAGTCACTTGACACCCACCCGGTTTTTGCAAACGATTCCATGCCATCTTCTCCCACATCATAGCAAATTCCAGGACTCAGGCCTACGTACCTGGGTGATTCTCAACTGTGTGTGGGGTAGGATGCATTTCAGAATCTCCTATATGAAGTGTTCTGAAAACACAAGCGCCCAGGTCTCACGCCAGAGCTCCCGAATCAGCTGCTGGGGTGGTGAGAGTTTGAAGAAGTTCCTGGGGTGATTAGGTGTGACAAGCACTCCCACCCCGTGCACCGCTGGTGTTGCTAGTGAAGACCTAAAGGAGGCAAGCGGCAGGAAGGGAAGAGGTGGGCCCAGGTGGGGGTGGAGTTGGCATGACTCAGGGATTGATTGGTTCTGTTACTCTCCGCATGTTTCCCACAGGGAACTCGGAAGCCCACTCACTCCCAACAGGTGATCTCACTGCTTTCTGAACTGAGAAAATTAAAGCCCTCCAACTGTTCTGCCCTCCTCGGTGACGCTCTGGGTTCTTATCCACATTCTCCACCGTTCTCCCGGACTCACTGCTCAGCCTGTCGCTCCTCCACGGTGTCTGGAGCCCACCCACCTTTCCTGCCCCTCGGGGGACTGCTCTCCTCCCGTTATCCATCCCCGCCCGCACCGTTGGCATCTCCCTCTCCAGGGCTCCTATCCTCCTTCCCCAGCTCCCTCACCTGTCCTCAACGCTTGCTCTTTCTCACTCCTCCGGATCCAATAAGCACCCAGTTTTATGAGTTCTCCCTGCTCTTGATGACCCTTTCATTCCGTCCCCTCTTCTGTGCCCCGTCGTTGTATAGGACTTTGTCACTCCTTCCCACCACCACCAACCCATCCTCTGAACTGGCCTGTCCATCTCCATGCGGCTCCCTCTCCAGACCGACTCCAGAGGGATTCTTCTAATGGGCTAATCTGATGTGAGTTGCTCTGACTGAAAACATCTCACTGCCCCCTGCCCAACACCACTGGATAAAGCCCACACCCCTTCACAGGTCACACCAGCTCTTCTGCACCTGCCCTCCCCCACTCTGTACTTCTCTCTCCCACAGTATGCACCCCCCATGAGCCTCTTAGGGAACATTTGCCTTTGCCTGGCACCCCTTTCCCTATTTTGCTTCCTAAAGCAAACTCCCATACATCCCACAAAACCCAGTTCAGGCACCAGCTTCCACAAAAAGCCTTCCCTTATGCTCTTGGCTAGATTTCATCATTCCCCCTTGTGGGATACCTCTGATCTACTATCAGGCTCCCACGGGTGCACCTTTCCACCCTGCAACCTTGGGGACATTACATATTCCTTCTTTGCATATTTTATTTATTGACAATTCTCTCTGCCTTTCCAAGCTTTGAGCTTCTTGAGGACACAGACTAGTAATTACTCATCTCAGCCCTCCTAGTGCCTAGCATCGTGCCTCGCTCACAGGAATCGTGGGAATTGGGTTAGAGCTAGTCTCCCTGCTTCCTTCAGAGACTTCTTTAAAATATCAAATCCCTGCCTTTACACTGTTTCTACTCCCACTCACTCCTTCACCCACTAAAATCTGTTTTCCTCCCATGTTTCTGATCTTTTAAAGAAATAAATGACTCACTCACATGTCTAAAGTGCACTGTGTCCATTCACTTTCCATATTCTTCAACCTCTGGGGCATTTGACACTGTTGACCATCACCCTCCTCGACATTCTTCTCCTGGTTTCTGTAGTGGACGGTCATGCTTTTGTTGTATCCATCCCACCTTCTTCTGGGAACAGCCCCTCAGTTTTCCTCTAGGGAAACATCCCTCCCTTATTCTCAGCCCTTGTGGTTTGGATGCTCTTTCTGATTACCTTAATTTTCATCAAGGTAATAACATTTTCCAGTTTTCCCTAGTCTGAAACCCTGAAGTTATCCTTAATTATTCCTTCTTAGTTCAGGGATCTTGTCCTTACTCATTAGGCTAATGAGAGTTTCCCAAGGCTGGTAGTGAGGAAATGTTCTCTTCTTCCTTGGTTGCTAAGCTCATAGGAGCTTTGAGGTGCTGGTGACCATCTTGCCTGCCTGAGAATGAAGCCATGTCTGACAGAAGCAGAGCTGAGGAGAGAGCAGAAGACTCCCTATGGAACCCTACATCCAGCCTTGCCTGAAGTCAGACCTATACCCTGGACATTACAGTTATACGAGCTACTGACTTTCCTTTTTTGCTGCCACCAGGTTGTCAATTTTCTGTTATAATCAAGGGAGTTGTGCTTGATAATGGCTGACTTTGTTGCTTGTCTTAAGGATGCCAGAGGTGTCTGATGATGGAAGACAGCAAATATTTAAGTAAGGTCCTACAACCACCGACTGGTTAAGGATCCCATGAGGGACCCTGGATGAGATGGCCTTTGATGTCCTTTCAGACTCTGAGAACCAGAGTTCATTTTGGGGTTCATTTTTGAATGGGAACAGTTTTGTTGGGAACATGGCCCCTCCTTTACCAAGCTCCTTCTCTTGGTCATGTCTCACGTTCCACCCTTCATCTGAGCTATTGTTGCATTTCCTATCTTCCCCATTAAATCATGATCTCTTTGAGGTGAATGTGAAGATTGTGAGCTTTTATTCTTAGCTCAAATGGTGTTTATGGGAAGGAAGGGAGGAAAGGAGAGAGAGAAAGGAACAAAGGGAAGGGAAAGAAAGGCAAGAAATCTACTCTTCACGGTATATAAGCCATTTAATTGTGAAGCTCCATCTAGTCTCCTAATCGATCCCTAATCCCTCCTTGTTGTGTTTGCTACTTTTGAAAATCCAAAATGCTTTTCTGTGCTTTTAGGTCGATTTTTAAAATAGAACCCACAGATGGTTGTATTAGGTCGCAAAGGCACCTGGTATGGGGGGCTCATTCTAAACTGCAGTCCTGCCCTCTTGACTTTGTCTTCTTGCTTACCTCTCCATTTTCTCATGATTTACTCAGTTTCCTTCTTCATCATAATGAAATGCTCAGACCTACAGGCACTTGATTCATAGTAGTGTATCAGGATAAGCACAGAAGCTCCTTCCAGATGCATGTAGACAAGGGACACTACCGTCTAACTTTTCTAAGGAAAACTTGATAATGAAATAATTGTTTCTAGCAAGTTACAGAAACAATCTGTTTGAGATAAGGGAAACAGAGATGCCTTATCAGATAATTGACCCCCCCTCTCCGCCCCCCGCCCCCGAGAAAGAAAGAAAGAAGGAAAGACTACCCTAGCCACCTTCTACTTCTCATTGTCTGGAAGGTTTTTCTGTCTAGACATTTCTCAAGCAGTTAGAATGTTGCTGAGTGTAATTGTGGCAGGTCCAGCTGGCCCAGACTTCCCTAAAAGGGCCTCTGCATTGCAGCATGTTTAAAATAGTAGCCACTCCCTCAAGAGGATGAGGTTTCTCAGGCAATGATGTTTGTCCATGCATCCAAGAATTCATATTTAAATACTCGGTGTGTACTGCACGCTATTAAACTCAGAGAGAAGATGCTAAAATATGGGATGCTGTCCTCACTCTCTAGGGGCTTATAATCTAATCAGAGAGATAGGATACATACACCCACCAACTAATTTCCTTTCAGCTGAGAACCTGAAATCGGGTTCTCAATGCTGGCCACACATTAATATCACCTGAGGAACATTAGGAACACTATTGATGCCTGAGCCTCATCCCACACAACTGAACGAGAAATATCTGGGTTGAGCCTAGGCATTAATAATTTTTAACCCTGCCATCCCCCTCGTCCCCTCCCTTGTAAGTCTAAGGTGCAATCAGACTTGAGAAACTCTGGCCAAAATGCCACCTCTTCTTACACACAGAGATCGGTTTGCCCTCCCTGATCTCCCCAGCCAGAAGGAATATATATTGATTGATTCCCAATGGTTCCAAATGTTTCTGTCAAAGAAAGACCCAGGAAACCTCAGACCAAGTCTTGTTTTCCAGAAAACACAGGAGGAGGAGATCATGACAGGAAAGTCAACACACAGCAGCCTTGGCCCTCATGTGGAAGGTTTCTTTACTCAGATTTGACAAAAGGCAAGGTCCAATCAGCCAGGCCTATGTGATGATAGAGAAATTAGAAGCCAAGGTCAATGCAAATACAGTCCAAGTCTTGGACTAACCATATGTATTTCTTGGCAGCCACTTGACTTGCTTGAAAGCACCGACATTCATAAACTTGGGGTCCAGTAGTTATGTAGACCAACGGGAAGGACGTTTCAAGCCACAAAACTGGAATCTTTGGGAAGCAACAGAAGTTGACCTAGATTATTTTCCTCCTCGGCTTCCATCTTTTGACTGTATTCCCGACTGGTGCAGGTGCAGAGTCCCATCTAACAGATGCCGGCCAGGCCTTAGCGTCCCGGAACATTCTTAGGCACTGACGATGGCTGACTGGCTGGGAGATGCGGCTTAGTCTTGATTAAAGTAGTCTTTTACTTCCCTTTGTCCAAGGGAGCCCATTCATCCAACACTAATCCATTTGTCCAATGAGCTCTAACCTAATCACCAGTACTCGCGGCCAAAGCCTCTAATGCCCTGACCTACCTTTGTAATCGCCCTGACCAATATAGCTGCATCTTCCCACTGAAAGTTCAGGCCAGGCCGGGCTCCAGGCTCTACCTCCAAATGTGATTAATGCACAACATCTGAGCATGGGAGATGCACACTGGAAACTTTTTATATGCTGCAGGCAAAACAGCAAGACTGACTATAAACTTCCATGTAATTATTTCCTAAGGGTATACACAAGATGCTTTTGTTTAGAAGGTGGCAAGTTTTCCAAGGCTTCAGAGGGGTTCCAAGAGCTTACTCAGGACCTGTTGCTTTGGAGGAAACAAGAGCTTTCTCACCAAAAGAAAAATCCAGCTCTCAAGCCTACTTGGACATCCAATTTCAGAGTGGCTCTGGCCTTCCAGAAAGGACTTTGGGATCCTAAAACCCCACTTGATCACAAGCTGCGTTTTCTGGGAAGCAGTGACACCTGGTGGTGTGGTCCCTCAATGGCTTGAGGCTCTGCCTTGAGGGGTGAGAACAGACCATTTCACTGCTTTCTGCCCTCAGCATTCCTGCCACAGAGTCTCCAAGTGTCATGATCCCAAATGTCACGTCCAGGACATCTCTAGTCCATTCTCCGCTTCTCTGCCCCCATTCTGAATGAGGTTGGAAGGAAAGTAGAAATTCCCTGGACCTGTGTCCCCCAGAAGGCATCCCCATTTGCCCCTTAGCAATAGGGCAGGGCACCTTGCATTTCTGGGGGACGTGTTTTATTTAGCCCATGGTGTTTCCCCTGCAATACCAGCCATATTCTAATTGGTTTCTCCATCAACCTTCACTCAGTTTCTACTACATGCTGGGTAGGTGCTAAACTGTACACTTCAAAGGCTGTCAAGCTGCAGAAGAAGTAGCCCCTCAGGGAGCCTCTACTCTAACCAAGAATGGGAGGGTAATGACGTTAAGGATTCCTGGGCTAGGGTATCCAGAGCAAATAATATTGACGCCAGTATTGATGGAAAATGAAGGCTCATCACTGCATTCAGCTCATTTACAAAAGAAGAAAGTCCTCATCTGACTCCATCTCAGAAGGAATTTGAAAGGTGACCTTTTTTTCCCCTCATTGTCCTCACGTGTTATCTCAGAGCCCCTCACCCACACAACACTGCCAACTTCCTTCTGGCCTAACCTGTCACCTCCACTGGTGAGGTGACGTGGCTGTTCTTGGACCACTGCTTTGTCCCCAGTCGGAACGTTCTGCTTCTTTGGAGGAGGGCAGCCTTAGGAGTTGTACATAAGAGCGAGTGTTCCCTCCGGTGAGAAGTCCTCCCACGCTGCTTCTGTGTGAGGCCCAGAACCAAATGAATCGGAGGATTTAGCACCCTTCTCCCAGCCCTCAAAGTGTTGCATTGGAATAAAGGTTAATTAAGGCAAAAGGGGGAAGATGTTCTTACGCTAAACTTTCCAGCGAAGTCCCTGGGTTTTCCCCTCTGTGTTCGCCCTTGGAAGTTCAAGCAGAGAGCGCCTCTTCAGCTGCCACCAGCCTCACCGTGCTGCGCTCTGACCTCCTGAGTCATCTCTATCTTCTGTTCTCCGTCTCTCTTCCAGGAGAAGGTTTTGCATGGCCCTCCCCCAATCTCATTTCAGTTATTTTGGTGTATTTTCCTTTCCTAAGTCAGCCTTTGGGGGCAGATCTCTTGAAAGCAGGGTTCTCAGCCTGGGCCACACATTGGACACACCTGGAGGCCCTAAGTTCTGTCTGCCACCCGGGGGCCCAGCCCCAGCAGTCCGATTGGTTTGGGGCGGGGTCCAGGCCCCACAAAGTTACAGCCTGCCCAGGCGGTTCTAATGGGCTGTGAAGACGCCCCCACTCTGGTTTTCTCTTGCCCTGCTTTCTCCCACTCTTTGTATTCTATGTGCTCGTCCGTCATCATTGCTCGTTATTATAAAGATGGAGCTGAAGCAGGGCAATCGCTTCATTCTGGAAGTTAAACATGACAACAGCAAGGGAAATGATCTCCCTCATTTTCAGCCACAGCTAAGAGAACTCTCATTCCTGACCCAAATTTTATCTCAACGTCACCAGTTCCCAGAAGAGGTATTGCCCATATTTCTGCGTATCACTGTGAAAACATAAGTACCCTGTTGCGTTCTAAAAAGTGATACTATGGAGCTGTTAGTCCATGGAAGTTGTGGGCATGTGCGGCATGTGAGTGTGTCTTTTTTCACTTCTTCTCATCTCTACTGCCCTCTGCCCCTCCGACTCTCTACCTTAAGAAAATCTTTGAATGTATCATAAAATATAACTAAAATATTTTTTCCATGTTCATTTGAGACTATTTTTGATCCTTGTCCTTATTTTTTTTTTCAAGATACATTTCTGTCTGAAAGAAAAGAGATTGCTACTTAGGTGGCCCACCTCCAATTTGTAAAGGCAGAATGAGGCAGCAAGAACACCGTCTAGGGGCAACCAGAAGACCCATGTCCTGCTTCAATCATTTGCTACTCACGTGCCCTGAAAGGCAAACCACTGACATTCTCTCTCCCTTCTCCCAACCGCAAAATGGAGAATCATGTTTTCATGGCCCATATCCACAGCCCACATTCATGGTTATTATGAGAATCAAATAAGCCAGTATTTGTGAACATATTTTGATTTAAAAAAAAAAAAAGGTTCCTTTTCACGGGTATACAGTGAGTTTGAATCTTTCTGTAGAGAAATTTTCCATGCCCATTCTCTAAACTCTCATTTCATTTTCTTTGGAAACCTTGCTTGCATTTGTGTGATCAGAGCTCTTGCTGGTCTATAGGAGGCTTTTCTTTTTCTGGGAAGGCTGTTCCACAGTCTGTCTGCTGCTCTCTGGAAGTTCCATTTCAGAAGGCAGCCCTGGTTAAGTTCCATCCCGACATCTGCAAATCACATCCACAGGGAAAATGTGACTCACTCAAGTTACTGCGTTAAGTTTTCATGGATATTGTTCAGGGAGTAGGTGTTGTCTTTGGGCCAAATCACTTGAAATCATCATGACATCAGGCCTGTCACTGAAAAACTGACTCTGCCCCCACAGGAAGCAAGGAGAAGGGTGGGTGCTGGGACACAAGGTTACTATAGGAAAGGCCGCTTTCCTAGCCCTCCTGAAGTTTTAGGGGGGAAGGGGGAAGGGGGAAGGGGGAAGATGTTCTTACGCTAAACTTTCCAGCGAAGTCCCTGGGTTTTCCCCTCTGTGTTTGCCCTTGGAAGTTCAATCAGAGAGAGCACGTCTTCAGCTGCCACCACCCTCACTGTGCTGTGCTCTGAACACCGAACACCATAGGACGCCTGGCACATAGTGGGAGAGCAGTAAATGGTGCCCAACAAATTATGGCACGTTTGTAAGTAACCCAGTACAAAATTGAACAGCCAAGGTGTCTCAACTCCTGTGCAATGAGATACAAACAAACCATAGTTTACGCTGCATGGATGGTAAGTATATGAAATTCTGGCTCCCCACTCTCTCTTTTGGTTACATCTGACATCACTAATTGGTCATCACGTTGTCTGCAGACGACCCCGGATCGAACCCCAGAATCTGATGCCACTCAGTTGAAACAGCTGCTACCAATCAATCCAAGATGCCACTTGCTATGAAACCGTTGGAAATTCCCAGTATGAAGGTTTCAGTAACCAAATCAATTCATTCATGGCACTTGTCCCAACACTCAGTTCACATCATTACCATTAGCATCTTCCTCCTCCTCATCTTTATCATCAATGTCATCATTGTACTTGTCATCATAAAGCTACTTTGAGCTATTTTCATCAAAAGTCACTTTTGTCTTGATGTGGCACCTCACCAAGATGGGGGTTCCTTCTTTCTATCCTTTTATGCTTTAGTCTTGGTGGCCATACCCTTCTCCTTCCCTGTCCCTCCACTTCTAGTCATAGCTGAATATATTTCAAAAAGAGAAAGAAGCTATGTGCATTGTCCCTTTTGGCATAGGGTTTTCTCTCCCTTATAAGATGATACCATAAATCCAGATCTGAATATTAATGAATTGTTGAATCCATGAGAACAGACTACTGACATTGGAGTAGACTCCAGGAGAAACATGTGGTAGGAGGAAGTTCTATAATAAATTGCAAAGGAACTCGGCCAAAGAGAAGAGAAAAATTGAAGGGGAGGGCACCTGTAGGGAGAGCAACATCCTCTACTGAAGGAGGAACATATTCACTATAGGAGTTCATTATCTCTTGGTTTCTCTTTGGCCCCTTTGCACAGTTGCTTAGAGAGAAGCACTTACCCAGGTTCGAAGCATCCTCCTCCCCCTGGTTTGATGGCTTCAGTCCTCAGAAGCTGGGCCACTCCAGAAGTCAACATCTAGATATATAGAGGAGAAGAGTAGGCTCCTGAGTGGCTTTTAGGATTTCTGGGCCTACAAATAAACAGGGGACTCAGCCCCCTCTAGGGCAGGCTCTCCTAAGGTAGCTTAGCCGGCCCTAGATATCGCAGCTGTCAAAGCTGGTAGGACTGAGATATGGCCACCTGCCCTCCTGAAGAAGATTCTTGGGAACCTACCTACCTCCATGGCAGTCAGCTGAAGACTTCCTGCCCTAGGTTCATAGCAAAGCTTCTCCAGTACATAAGTCAGAAGACAATATGTTGTTAAGGTGCAGGTGGGGAGTAGATGTAGGACAAGGTGAAATTTTTTAAAATTACTTTTAAGTGAATGGAATAAAAACCCTAAATTGATTCCAATTACCTCCTGAACTCAGTGCTAGAGAGAAATAGCGGACCCAGTCAAATTAGAGAAATCCAAGAGGCCTTGACCCATCAGTAAATACAGACTCCTATATGAAAATGAGTGAATTCACCGCCGAGCTCTCCAGCCACTTTCCACTGGACAGTGAAGCTAACACAAAGCTGAACTATCAAGAGTGCCAACCATATGTGCTGTGGGTGTGTGTCCATGTGGTGGGCAGCCCAGTCCAACCCAAACCTATAGGAATAGTACAAGGCTCTGGTTCAGAAGCATGTGTCATGTCCCAGTCTCAGCAATCACTGTGGCCAGCAAAGATTCTCAGGGCAGCGCGTCACTAAAGCCAGAAAAACCAGAGAGACCAGAAGGTATCCAATTTCAAGAGGAGCACGAGAAGACCGACCAAAAGCAGGCTGTGAGTAGACTCCCACTGAATATCTCAGGTCCTTTCCCCACTCTCTGAAAGATAAATGTTAAGGAGGCATTGGAAGCCCTGAGCTTGCTCAAGAGCTGCCCAATGAGAGTGTGGAATTCAGACTCTGAAATCCTAGGCCAAAAGGCACTATGACCTTCAACTCCGCTTTCATCAAGCTCTGTGTTCCAGAAATCAAGGCTTGAGTTTCCATGAGAAAGGAATGGAAATGATCACCTGTCTTGTCACCGGGCCAAGATCCTGACTTATATTTATGTTTTGGATAAGGAGAAGAGAGAGGTAGGGTACAGAAGGGAGGGGTGAAGCTGATGATAAGGGGGTGGAAATGCAATAACATTCTCACTCCGGAGCCAAGGGAATTTGGCTCTGTAATTAGCTCCACTGCCCTGAGTGAAACCAGTCAACGCATTCCAGCATAGCTGGGCCTGTGCTTTCCTGGGATGATGGTGCTGCACCTATTTGACCACTGTCACCCTCCGATTCCTCAGGAACACGATAGCACCCGGGTAGAGGACACTCCCAACTTGTAAGGAAATACTTGTCTCAGTCTCCCTGACCAGGCCTGGGTGCATTTGGCCAATCAGACTTTTCTGCTGCTCTTTGCTGTCACATCCTGAAGGAAACTTCCCCTAATTTCACCATATTCTCTCTCTTGCCCTCCAGCTACTCTGCCTCTCCTTGGTACTCTATCATTTCTTGCCCACTGTGTCTCCGTCCCATTAGACTCTGAGATTGCTGAGGGTGGCAGCTTTATCCTGTTCTTGATAAGTCCACATGGTCTAGCTCACCCCCACATGGGCCACACCCAAACCATGATTCATTATATGTTTCTGGAAGGGAAAAGGAGAATGGAATGACCAACCTGCCCAGGTTTGCTGGGATTTGCCTGGTTTTCGCTTGAGAAAGGCCTCAGATTTGGGCAAGCCGAGACAACTGGTCACCCCGCCAGAAGGGAAAGAGGAAGGTAAAGAGGAAGGAAGGCAAGAAAGAGGGTAGAACCCTGTGCACTCTTCTTGGCCACCTGAGGAGCAGCCTGCCTTGCTGCTGAGGTCCTGGCCGCTGAGTGACAGATGAGCTGTTGGGGACTGCAGGGACATTCAGTGAGCTCATCCCTATAAAGGAGCAAAGAGATGATGGATCAGACTTGAATCAAGACGTAACTGAATTCTGAAAGTGGAATTATTATATTCATTCAGGGAGCATCGGTTGAGCACCTATACTTGGTCAGGTTCTGTGCCAGATACTGAGGATACAGAAGTGAAAACGGGCCCTACCCATCAGGAGTGCAGGAAAGCAGGGAACGTGCTGAGGAAATATCCAGTGCACTTCCTGTTTCATCATGTGGGTACAGCTCTGAACACACCATTGGTGCGCATAAACATAATGAGCTGTTTGTCTGCCAGGTTGGCATACACGCTGTCGTCTACCTTGGGGACCCTAGAGGACACTGTTACAACCTCTATAATAGGACGTCACCACATCCTCTCTTGTCTGTAAAACCACAGGGCCAGAGGGCTGTTGGTTGGTTGGTTTTTAAGCAGTATGTAGGCCTTCTCAGAGGCAGATTGAAAGGGTCACCAGGCCCGTGGCTTAAATTAGACTTGACACCATGACCAGGCAGACACGAGGCTGCCAGAGCTGGTGGGGGGCTAGGCACACACGAAGGGCATGGCCAGGGCAGAGAGGGGTGCCCGGTTTCCACTGAGCTCAGGGCAGATGAGCTAATCCCCCAGATACCAGCCCTACCTGCTGGACGGGCAAGCCGTCCAGGGGCCAGTGTCCAGGCGGCTGCCTCCTAGGCCAGAGCGGTGCCCTGCCTTCTTTTTGCCCTACTCCTGGCTTCCCATTCTCAACTATGGGTCGTGGCCCAACAAGGACGGTTTTGGGGACTTTTATCATGGCCCACAGAATAGAGACACAACAAATGTTGAGCAGCGTTGACTGTCTTAGTCTTGGTTGGTCTCCAATCTGGCCACGGGTCCGCCACTGTGTTTATCTGGCTCTTGCTAACTGCTGACTGATTGTCTTCCCTACACTCCCACCCCACTCCTACCCCCTATGGCACATTTAGAGAATGGATTCGTTAATGGAAAGAGAACTATTATCCTCCTGAGTTGTTTCAGAACTCAGAAACCTTGTAGGAGGCACTCTGTTTTACAGATCAGAGGGAAACAGACAGGGGATAGGTTTCAGAATTAAGATTAAATCACCAAGACTGTAAATGGTTTCTCTCTCTCTCCCCTCTCATCTGTTTATAGAATGTCTCCTCCCTTTTTCACCTCTCTTTCCCTCCCTCGTTTCTGGCCTCTGGCCGTGAGCTGGGGGTAGAACAGTAAAGCAGGACTTGTTTTTTTTTTAACCTTCTGAGACTTCACAGGTAGTTGGAGTTTATTACTATCTTAAGGCAAAGATTGGGAGTTCAGCTTCTTTACGGGGAAGGTCATAGAGGAAGCCCTCCCTTCATCACCTGCCCACTGTGTCCCATGTTTATAAAGTATTTAAACACAGTGTGCTAAGCCAAGAGGGAAATGATGCGGAGGGCCTGAGGGGAGAGCAGGAGTCATCAGAAAGGCTTCACAGAGGAGGTGATACTCAAGTTGAGATTTGAAGAATAAATAGAAGTGTACTATGCAGTTATGATTTAACAAAAATTCTCAGCAATTCGTGATTAAGATGAAACCAAAAACATGAAAAAACAAGTTTCTCTCAGAGATTGAGCGTTCAGGGCAAGCAGAGGGGTTCAGCATATATTTCCACCGGGGCTGGGACCCTTCCCTCCACAGGCTCTCCACCGTGTTTGCGGTGTTGACGTCCCGACTGCTGCCCTAAGATCCCATAGTCCCCGTCCGGAATGGCCTTAAGGAAGTGAACTGACACCGTGTAAAAAGCTTTTCTGAATTAAGGGTTAAGGCAAAGGATTTTGGCTCCATTCACAGTTAACTAGAAACTTCCAGTCACCGAAAACGCCCATGCCCCCAGCCGGCTGGCTCATTGAGGTATTGCTGCATCTGGCTCTTTGTGTTGCTCTCTTCCTCCTGTTTGCTCTGAGCCCCTTGCCTTTACTCTGGAGTCTGCGCTCCTGCCTCGGCAGCAGCATTTCTTCTCGTCCTCGCTCCTCCCCGCCCCCTCCGCTGTCAGCGCCCGACTCAGCCCGAGCCGGTGCGAACACGGGTGCGGAGCGGAGCAGGGAGTCCGGGCTCTGCAGGCGAGTCATGTCTGGCTCCTCGTGCCTCGACAGGGTACACCTGGGGTGGGACCCTGAGGTCCTCCTCAGCTGACCGCTCTCCTTGAAGCTATTTTTGTGGGTGAGGCCATAATCCCGTCCTCCAGACTGAGTAGGAAAAGCAGGGCACAGGGGGTGCACGGTCAGAGAGACTGACGTGTCTGAAGGAGGAGACTGGAACTTTGACAAGACACAGCTGGCTGAGGGAGGGCGCTGGAAGATTCCGCCCTGGGGTGAGGGAGACGAGGAGGAGGGGCCTTTAAATAGCAGGTGGCTTCACCGCTTCTATAAATGAAAATGGGATGTTTTCACTGAACACCGACTACGAAATGGGCTTTTATTAGACAGCTGCATCACCCATCGGACAGCCCCCGAGGCGCTCGCTGGGGACCCCGCCCGGCCGCTCATCTATGCGGACGACTGCGCCGCAGCACCTGCCGCGTCTCTCCGCCCAAGGACTCGGCTCAGGCCAGGGACGACGGACCCGGGGAGATGGAGGGACAGAAACAGGCCGCGGCTCGATTTCTAACACTGCCAGATCGCATTCTTGCTGCCATTTGTGTACCGGTCTGAGAGTCATTCATTTTTCTCTTGAGGAGCCTGAAAAAGAGACCCACGTGCTGTGCCTTGGGGGACGAGGGCGGGTAGGGAGGGGGAGGCCGGGAGGAGGCAAGCCTTTTAAAGCTCTCGGCAAGTCTTCTCTCGGTAAGGCGGAGCTGCAGGTGATCGGTCTTTCCTCTCCTTAATTAACTGAAAAATCCCTTCTGGGATGGCAGAATAAAGTGGGTAGGAGCCTGAGGAGCATTTAGCCTCTGAGTAAATCACCTGCCTTGCAGCCTCCTTGCTTTTAGGAAGCTCAACGCAGTGTTTCTCGGCAGGTCAGAGGCGTCCGCCCCGCTTGCCACCGTCCCGGGAAAGCAGGGCAGCCCAAGCGACTGAGTCATCGCGGTCAAGGAGGAACCAAA